CCTGCCTCCGCTGCGAGTCCCTATCAAGCACTTCACCAATTCAACTACTCTCTTCTCCTCCTCCTGCCTTGCTCTTTGGCCCGCATCACTCACCGCAGAGCAAGCCTGTTCTTGATAAATCTGCTGTGAAAACGTGGCAGAAGCCGACGAGGAAGAAGTTGGGGTGATGCGATCTTTATTTAGGCGGAGCAAAATACTTCATCGCTCCGTCTATAGTGCACTGTGATTGGATGTTTACGCTGTCAATACAGGAGACAAACCAATGGGCCACTGGCTGCTCGCTGTCCGTGCGTGATGGTTTTCGGCAAAAAAACAAAAAAATATTCTGTCGGCCCCTTAAGTGCGTCGGCCCACCGGGAAAATGCCCGGTATGCCCGGTTACCAATCCAGCCCTGACCACAACTAATGAATAAATGATATTTTAAAAAAAAAGACAAGAATCAAAAATTTAAAAGAAAAAAAAAATAAAGTTGGGAAAAAACGCATTTAGATGACTAACATTACAAATGGAGTTCAGGGGGAAATGCTAGAAAAATTTATAATATTTCATAGGCGAGCTGACGGACTTGTAATATTGCAAAAACTCAAGCTAACATCTGTTACAGCAGAAGAACATGACTTAATTTTAACCTTGGCATGCGGTGGGGGTTTATGGGTAAATAATCCCATCAACCCCTGCAGCAGCTCCCATCAGTGACATCACATGATCAGGACACGTGTGATTTACTGAAGATCATTTCCTGTCTCTTTCATCATCATCATCATCATCATCAGTGCTGTAATCATGCTCAGTATCTGCTCTTCTGCTCCTTCACACAGCAGTCAGCTATTTTTACCGCGGTTTAATTGCACATAACCCATCTGCCGTGGGTAACTCGCCCGGAGTGCAGTACGTCAACACTCGTTCACTCACAGTGTTTGGCCTATAAAATAAAGTGTTAGCAGATATTAAGCAGACAGTCTACTAATACTCTAATGACTGCTAGTTGACATGTAGTTGCAAAGTTACTTACTGTTAGCAGAATGTCTAAAGTGTACTATCAAAATAAAGTATTACCAAATAACTTTGATTAATTGAGTTCATTATTTTCATTTCTGGGCATCACTACTGTTTTTAATTAAACAATGACTAAAGGTGCAGCATGTAATACTGACAGCTAGTGGTTGAAATGGGTACTGCAGTCCCAATGCATAATACTGAAGAGAATCCTTTCTCCTGCTCCTCCTCAGACTCACTCTCACCTGGGTTGCCAGATCGAGGAAAGGCAACAGGAATTACGCGACTTACACTAGAAGTCATTGAGTTGATTTATCCACCTTTTATACAGCTTTTAAATGGATGGCGAGGGTTTTTAGGTCAGGTAGCCATAGCTGCTCTTCACTGCATTTTCCGCTAACTGGCAACCCGGCGGGGTGTTGAAATACTATTGGGTAAATAACGGTGGTGACGGCAGTGGCAATCCACCTGTCACTCAAGTGGCCACGCCCTTAATTATGCAGAGCTTTAAGGCTTAATATAATTTAAACGGATGAGTTAT